CTCATCGAAATTGGGACAATAGAAGATTCGCATCATGGATGTGCAGCTGACAAATCAGCGGCAACTGTGTGATGCCATCATGTCAATATGGACCAAAATCTCTGAGGAATGCTTCCAGCACCTTGTTGAATCTATGCCACGAAGAATTGAGGCAGTTCTGAAGGCAAAAGGGGGTCCAACCTGTTACTAGCGTGGTGTACCTAATAAAGTGGCCGGTGAGTGTAATTTTCAGCCTACTTTTTACTTCTACTTCTTAAATTTTAATTCAATTATCTGTATTTTCGACTCCATACTTTTTCAAAATGCAAAAAGTATTTCATTTCTGTTTAACTTTGACTTGTTTTTATTCCATCTTTTCATTGTTCAGAAAAAAATAAACAAATAGAAATCTAACCAGACACATGGAGCCCATGGATGGAGTGAATCTGATTGTGGTTGTTGAGAAGTGTAAATATAAACCATTCTAACATCCTATTGGATTGACCTCACTCCATCACACCTGTATGACACAAATCCCATCCAGCAGGACAGACTGGAGCAGATGGAGTCTAGAATGAAGATGATCATGACAGAAACAACTAGTCTAATCAGTTAATTCCAAATTTTTCAACATTAACATTAAAATGTAACATTATACTCATTATTGACTGTAGAAGAAAAATGAGGGGGGGGGGTTGCTTTTATCCTTGTTGGCTTTTTTAAGTGTTCATTTCTTTTACTTAAATGTTTTAAGTAGTTTTAAAACCAGTACTTTTATACTCTTACTTGAGTAAAAAGCTTGAGTTGATACCTCTACTTCCAAAAAAGTATTTTTAAACACTAGTTTCTATACTTCTACTTAACTAATGAATGTGAATACTTTTGACACCTCTGTTTATACGTTTTAGCTCTTCTGTAGAAAATATGACATAATTCAACTTGAGTCATTATATTGTCAACAAAGATGGAAGAATCCCCAGAAATTACATTTTAAAGTATTAATATTTGTTTGATTTTACTGTTCCATTTTCATCTCTTTATTTCTCATTGTGCCTCAGCTGACTGCACATCACTGATTAGTACTTGCATTGTTACTGTGTATCAGTAAATACTTGTACTTTGTTTGAAACAATGTGGTATCTGTGCATTCTTAGTTCTGATTGGTTGCTGTGTTCAACACGAACACATGATGTGTGCGTGGACACGTTTTTGCTACATAATGGGAGCCATTTTCCAAACGCAGCCTTGTGGGGACCAACACCTGGTCCTCACAGGTGCGGTTGCTGATTTTGGTTGGGTAGTTTCACGGTAAAGGTTTATAGAAATGACTGGAATATGAATGGAAGTCAATGCCAGGCCCCCACAATGATAGGTAAACCAACTTGTGTGTGTGTGTGTGTGTGTGTGTTTCAGTTGGCTATAGAAAAGTACGAGGAGATGTTTCCAGCTTTCTCAGACTCAAGAGAGCTTAAACTGCTGAAGGTAATGATTGTCTCTTTCTTTTTAATTTGTGTTCAAATGTCGTTTTTTTGTAAACGTGTGAATTAAACGTTTTATTCTAGGCAACAAAACCTTTTAAATGTGCATAAATATTGTGTATAAAAGCTCTAGAGTTCCCTGAGGAAACACCCTTCACCTGCATGTTTGATGGGAAGAACCTGAACCAGAAACACAAGACCTGCAGTGCTCTGAGTGTCAAACTAAAGAGATGTTGTGAGCTGCTCACACAGCTGAAGGCAGCGTGACCCACCTGCACCTGGCTTTAAGCTGATGTGTAATCTGTGTTTTTGTGCGTCAGAAACTCCTGGAGGCCCACGAGGAGCAGAACAGCGAGGCCTTCACCGAGGCCGTGAAGGAGTTCGACTCCGTGTCCCGTCTGGACCAGTGGCTGACCACCATGCTGCTCCGCATCAAGAAGACCATCCAGGGAGACGCCGGGGACCTGAAGTAGACCAGAGGGGGGAGGTGTGGGAGGGGGAGGAGGAGGGGAGGGGGTGTTAAAGGGACAGTCTGCTCATTTTAGATGTGATCTGTTCAGTATGAGCAGCGAGGGTCTTATCGGTCCTGACATCAGTCTGCAGGAAAGAGACTGTTTTTTTATTGACTTTCAAAATAAAAGTCACATTTGACATTCTAAAATTAAAGTGATAAACATCAAATTGCCTCTAGATTTGATTCTCTTACAGTAAATATAAAGTAAAGCTTATGTCCTTTATAACTGACTGATGAAGATGAAGGTGAAAACATCTTTTCCATTATTCTGTTACAGGAAGGTTGAACCTCAGCAGCTTTATTAGTTTTAAATTTAAACATTTGATTCGATACAAACAGCTGCTTCTGTATGGAGCTAAACTGGGACCAAAAGTTTCGTTCAAAATTAAAAGTTTTTCAAAGTGAAATAAATGTATTAGAAACTGGAAAAGTTTCAAACAACTTTTTTTTTTGTTTCAATTTCAAAAACGTTTTAATTTGAACAAAACTTATGACCCTAATTTATCTCCGTACATGCTAAGAAAACTTTGCTCCTGGCTTCTCGTTTGCTGAAGTGAAGACAAATTTAATTAGTTTTCATTTGAATCTTAACGTCCTGTCTGCTCATCAGTCCCACATGTCTGTCCTCCCAAACACACCTGTTTGTGCTCAGGCGTCACACCTGGACGATGGGCTGAAAGGGGGCGGAGCTTCAGCTCGTTAAATGAGGCTAAACATGTGAGAACTCTCCCAAAGTAAAACGTGGTAATATATTTTTAATAATCATCGTTATTTCTCGATAGACATGTTTTTGTGATTGTTTGGATCATTTTTTACTTTAGCCTGAAAAATAAATGATTAAATTAAGTTAAATTAAAATAAAATATAATAAAATAAACAGGCCCGTTAGCCTGGCCTGGAGGACAGCTCTTCTCTATGCTCTGTGTTGTCTGACTGATGAGGCACTGACCACTGATCCGTGTTGGATAGAACCTGTTAAAATGATCAGACTGTTCTTTTATGCAGAGAAGCTGCAGAAACAGATAAATTACAGATATGTACATATCAGTCTGCATGTGACCCCAATCAATTTAGCATCACCTTTAAGTCCCTGTCCGATGACCCGTGTCCCGTCAGTATTGCACAGTAATGATGGACTGAACTGTACTTAGGGGATAAAATGTGTGTGTGCAGAAGAAAGAATGTGTGTGAGTGTGTGTGTGTCCACAGGTGTCTCTGCGTTTTGATGAGGTGTGCAGATATATCACAACAAAACAAGATTTAAAAATGTTATTAAAGAGATTGTTCATATTTATTGTCAATACTGAAAAAAATCATTGTTTATTATTGTGCTCAGTGTTATTGGTTTGTCTTAATATTTTTAGGTATTAGCCCTCTTCTGTGACGTCCGTCCTGTTTTCAGCTGCAGCAAAGTTAGTGACATCACTTCCTGTGGTGAGTCACTTCCTGTGAGGGCGGCGCAGTTGGCCACCGGAGCTGCTTGTTGTTTCTGTCCACTTCGTGCATGTCTCTGTTGATGTACGTGTTCTCTGTGTCGTGACCAGTAAAAACATGCCGTATCATTTGTGTGAAATCAGTAAAAATGTATCTGGGATGTTGAAATAAAAACATCTTCACTCAACAGATGTGTGGCTGTTTATTCAGCAGACATTATTTGTGTATAAAATTACAAACCTAAACCTAAACCTTGGACAGCATCACAAACTCAGACCCAGAGGAGCAAAATGATGTGTTTTTAATCTTAACTGCAGGCCTCATATGGAGGGTCAGGTGTCTGTGGCTCTAGAGCAGTGTTTCCCAAAGTTGGGGTCGGGACCCAAAGTGGGGTCCTGAAACATCAAGGTGGGGTCCTGAAACATCAGGGTGGGGTCCTGAAACATCAAGGTGGGGTCCTGAAACATCAAGGTGGGGTCCTGAAAAGATTTTCTGAATTAATGACATTTTTGTCTTAGTTGTTACAAAGGAGTGAGGTTAGTGTATTT